TTGATTTTCTTCACACGTCCTGTCTGCGACGGTTTATCAAGTGCGATATTCGCCTAGATCGACCCCGCCTTCGCAAGAAGTTCAGAGACTATCACACCCCACGAATCGCCATACTAGAGCAGAAGAACTACGATCCTCCAGTCGTTTGTCTCTTCTCGCGGGCCTTTCCACATCTCTCAATCGTCCTTTTTCCGGTCACGATAGAGTTATAGACTTCGCATCTAGACGCTTTAGACGTTCAAGAATCGCGAGTTTCCTCCCCACACGAATATCTCAACAAACACCCTCCCGATCGACATAATACCAACCGTCATAATGTCTTCCGAGAACGCCCAGTCCGTCAAGGTTTTGGACGAGCTTTTCCAGAAGCTCACCGTCTCCAAGGAGGCTGCCGACATCAAGGAGTCCTCCAGCTCCCTGGCTTCCTTCATGAACGGCCGCATTGAGGATCAGGATGTTCCCACCAAGTAAGTTGTTACTGCTATCATATTCACTGCCGGCTGTACCGCAACGTTGCCTTTGGGGGGAGTGAGATTTACCTCAAGCGACCGTGTCCACGGCCTTGGGAATTTCTCCAAAAAAAAAAACGAGATTTTTTTTCTTGTTCCCCTCGCCTCTTCGGGCGGCTTTTGCACCGACCCGCTGCGACGCTGAGCGTTCAGCCACGCTGGCCACTCAGCGGCGAGTTATTTTCGGCTCACACAACTTTTTTTTTTCTGGAGCATCAGCGCTGACAAGGATTTTCCCCGCAGGACCATCGAGTCTATCCGCAAGCTGTTCAACAACAAGAAGGATGCTGCTGCCCGTGAGAAGGCCGCTGTCGCCATCACCGCCATTGCTCAGCACTCCGAGGTCTCCGCTCACGTCGAGCCCCTCCTCGTCGCTCTCCTCCCCGATGTCCTTGCCGCCGCTGGTGACAAGATCACCGGTGTGAAGAACGCCGCCACCGCTGCTGCTCTTGCCATCGCTGAGGCCATCAACCCCAACGCCGTCAAGGGTGTCTTCGCCCCCGTCAAGAAGTCCCTCCTCGAGGCCCAGAAGTGGCAGGAGAAGATGGCTGCTCTCGATGTCCTCGAGACTGTCATCCGCACCGCCCCCGCCCAGGTCGGCTTCCGCGTTCCCGACTTGATCCCCGTCGTCTCCGAGTCCATGTGGGACACCAAGAAGGAGGTCAAGGAGCGTGCCTACAAGACCATGGAGGCCATCTGCCAGCTCATTGTCAACCGTGATATCGAGCGCTTCATTCCCGAGCTTATCAAGTGTATCGCCAAGCCCGAGAACGTCCCCGAGACCGTTCACTTGCTCGGTGCCACCACCTTCGTCACTGAGGTCCAGGAGCCCACTCTTGCCCTCATGGTTCCCCTGCTTGATCGTGGTCTCGCCGAGCGTGAGACTGCCATCAAGCGTAAGTCCGCCGTCATTGTCGACAACATGTGCAAGCTCGTCGACGACCCGAACATTGTCGCTCCCTTCTTGCCCAAGATGATGCCTGGTCTCCAGAAGAACTACGACAACTTGGCCGACCCCGAGGCCCGTGAGAAGACCAAGCAGGCCCTCGACACCATCATCCGTGTCGGTAACGTCGTTGACGGCAAGATTCCCGAGGTCCGCCACGACTCCGACTTGGAGGTTGTCCTCCCCAAGCTCAAGGAGTCCATCCCCTCCAAGTCTAAGGCCAAGGCCGATAAGCTCGACATTGTCCTCCAGTACGCCTCCAACATCGCCGGTCAGCTCATCGACGAGAAGGAGATGGAGTCCGCCGTCTGGACCGAGGCCCTCAAGCCCTACATCGCCGTCGTTGTCGGTGATGATGATGCCCAGAAGGTCGTTGACGACTTCCGCAAGCGGGCCGCTCCCGGTGCCGCCGAGGAGGAGGAGGTTGACCCCGATGATGAGGAGGGTGAGGACCTTTGCAACTGCACCTTCTCTCTCGCCTACGGTGCCAAGATTCTTCTCAACCAGACCCACCTCCGCCTCAAGCGTGGCCAGCGCTACGGTCTTTGCGGTCCCAACGGTTCCGGAAAGTCTACTCTCATGCGTGCCATCAACAACGAGCAGGTCGAGGGTTTCCCCAAGCAGTCCGAGGTCAAGACCGTCTTCGTCGAGCACGACCTGGACTCTGCTGACACTGAGATGACCACCATTGAGTGGACCATGAAGAAGCTTGCCGATGCCGGTGTCGAGACCTCTCAGGCCGATGTCGAGGCCAAGCTCAACGAGTTCGGCTTCACCGAGGCCATGGTCAAGGGTGAGATCTCTGCCCTGTCTGGTGGTTGGAAGATGAAGTTGGCTCTTTGCCGTGCCGTCTTCGAGGCTCCCGATATCCTGCTTCTCGACGAGCCTACCAACCACTTGGACGTGAAGAACGTCAAGTGGCTCGAGGACTACCTCATGAACTCCCCCTGCACTTCCATCATCGTCTCCCACGACTCTGGCTTCCTCGACAACGTCTGCCAGCACATCGTCCACTACGAGCGCTTCAAGCTTAAGCGCTACCGTGGTAACCTCAAGGAGTTCGTCAAGAAGAACCCTGCCGCCAAGTCCTACTACGAGCTCTCCGACTCCGAGATGGAGTTCTCCTTCCCCGAGCCCGGTTTCCTCGAGGGTGTCAAGACCAAGGCCAAGGCCATTCTGCGTGCCAGCAAGATGTCCTTCCAGTACCCCGGTACTACCAAGCCCCAGATCTCCGACATCTCCTTCCAGTGCTCTCTCGGCTCCCGTATCGCCGTCATTGGTCCCAACGGTGCCGGAAAGTCCACCCTTATCAACGTCCTTACTGGTGAACTTATCCCCACCGTTGGTGAGATCTACCAGCACGAGAACATCCGTATCGCCTACATCAAGCAGCACGCTTTCGCCCACATCGATAACCACTTGGACAGCACCCCCTCCGAATACATCCAGTGGCGTTTCCAGACTGGTGAGGATCGCGAGACCATGGATCGCGCCAACAAGATCATCACCGACGCTGATGAGGAGGCCATGAACAAGATCTTCAAGATCGAGGGTACCCAGCGCCGCATCATCGGCATCAACTCCCGCAGAAAGTTCAAGAACTCCTACGAGTACGAGTGCTCCTTCGCCATTGGTGACAACGTCGGCCAGAAGAACGAGCGCTGGACTCCCATGATGTCCGCTGACAACGTCTGGCTTCCCCGTAACGAGCTTCTGGCTTCTCACCAGAAGATGGTTGCCGATGTCGATATGAAGGAGGCCCTCGCCTCCGGTCAGTTCCGCCCTCTGGTCCGTAAGGAGATCGAGTCCCACTGCGCCAACTTCGGTCTCGACGCTGAGCTGGTTTCTCACTCTCGCATGCGTGGTCTGTCCGGTGGCCAGCGTGTCAAGGTCGTCCTTGCTGCCTGCTCTTGGCAACGCCCCCACTTGATCGTCCTTGACGAGCCTACCAACTACCTTGACCGTGACTCTCTCGGTGCCCTGTCCAAGGCCCTCAAGAAGTTCGAGGGTGGTGTCATCATCATTACTCACTCTGCTGAGTTCACCAAGAATATCACTGAGGAGGTCTGGGCCGTCGTTGACGGTAAGATGACTCCTTCCGGTCACAACTGGGTTCAGGGCCAGGGCTCTGGTCCCCGTCTCAAGGGTGACGAGGGTGAGGAGGAGGAGAAGTTCGACGCCATGGGCAACAAGATCGTCAACACCAAGAAGAAGGTCAAGTTGTCCTCTTCCGAGCTCCGCAAGAAGAAGAAGGGTAAGTCTATTCCATCGATCACTTGATGCTCTACATGCAGAATGCTAACATCTCTCCTTCAGACCGTATGGCCCGCCGCAAGCGTGGTGAGGAGGTTTTCTCCGACGAGGACGACATCTAAACCAGTCGCCACGAGATCGCTTTCCTTTCCATTTGTCACGAGCCTTACAAAAGTCTTTTTTCGGTAACGCGGGTTGCATGGTTACGGGCCTGTTTATGATTTCTTTGACGAGCACCCATGAGATTCCCCTTGAAATGAAATCGCCGGATGAAGGAATGACCATCTCGCTGCGGGATTGGAGGATCCCGCGCGCGAGTGTGAGAGAGGTTCCTGGCGACAGGGAATGAGGGGGTAAGAATAAGAGAGTAGAAAGAGTAAATAGACGGCAATACAAGCCATAGACACTTCAACTTCTTTTCCTTGACTGATGCATGTGACGTGATGTGTTTGATGCCTTTTTCTCCAGGAGATGGGAGACTATGTTCCAGGTGGTCAGTTCTACGTTCCGACTGGCAGTCAAAACCAAAATCCCATTCCCATCTGTACCCATCTCATTTGACCCATTTCCGAGGTTGAACGTCAACCTGATGCTTTGGTCATTCTCAGGCCCCGATCTTGTGTTTGTGTGTGGTCATGGTGCTATTGTACTCGAGTGACTGGGATATGCTACTTGGACAATACCCCGGGATACGTGTGATACCAATCGTGCCTTTGTCTCAACTCCCTCAAATGTCAGTATCCCTTACAACTTCCTGCACATTGACGCTCAGCCGGAAATACTGCATCTATTGACCGGTAATTGTAGATTCCTTTGTCACCATGCTATGCAGGTTCCCTCTAGCCCATCAATAGTCTCAGGGGCTTCAGGTCTCGCCGGAGACAGTTGAGCCCCCAGAAGCCATATCTGAACGTCCGAGGTCAGAGTGCTCCTTTGAGAGATCTTTGGAGGGATGCAGGTTGAATGCGTCTGCATGTGAAGTCAAAGGACCAGCTGTGTTGATTGTGCTCGACATTGTTCAAAGTTGAGGGAGCTGCCGAAGACTACTATTTGTGTCCTGCTTGTCTTCGAGATCAACTCCAAGTCTTCGAGAAGACAACGTAAAAGATACCAAAGTGTGTTTTGTTCTTCCATCCGTGATGGCCCCCTCGGCCGAGAAGTGTTTTGATATTTCTTTCTCTTCATTCTTCGGTTTCCTCTAGGAAACCCTCGTTATCTCGACACCCTCTACGTTATCAAGCCATCCAACGTCCGTTCCAACCGACGACACCACCACAGGTGAGGCCATCACCATGGCCACCTCCCCAGACAAAGACCTCACCCAAGAAACAATCTACGACGAAGAATGGTGGGTGAAAAACACCCGCGAACACCCAGACAGCCCAATTTCCCTCCCCCTCTCCCCGTCACCACAGCCAGCCTCCTCGGGAGACTCAAACGACACCGACACCTCCGACCACACAAACACCTCCAACATCTCCATCCCCGCCACGGCAATCCACACCCACGACACAACCGCCGCGACCATCACATCCCTCCGACCGCCAGGGAACCCCCACGCACCCTTATTCCTCGGCGCGCCGCCCGTGAAGCCGGCAAATAAAGGCCAATGGGCTTACGTGGAGTACATCCCCGCCTGGACGGACCCGCTCTGGAAAGACGGCGATTCGAGAGTGCAGGACGAGAAGAACCCGGCGTACGTGGTGCGTAAGCGCGACTGGACGAAGACGATCCGTCCGGCGCAGCTGCCGCAGGATAGGGCGCAGAATCCGAGCGCGTTTGCGTTACGGTACGGGGTGTATCCTGACAGATTGGATGGTAGGTCGCGGTTGACGCCTACGAGGGGCGCGTTTCGCACGTTCAAGTATGATGGGGTCGAGGTTCCTGGTGTGACGGCGGAGGTTGTGATTAAGCAGGCCGAGGGGTTTGCGAATGCGGCTGGGTTGGCTGGGGTGGATGGGTTGTTGGAGGTGTATTCTGGGATGAGGGGGGGTGGGGGTGATGAGAATGAGAGGTTTGTGTTGAGGGCGTTGGAGGGGATGAGGGATGATGAGGATTGGCAGATGGTGATGTTTCGGGGGATGACTTCGCATGAGGTATGTTTGATGCTTTGTTTTTGTGAGTGTTTGTGAGGGTGAGTTGAGGTTGATGAGGAAGTGTAGTTGATTGAGGGGGGGATGATGTCGATGAGGAATGGGAATGCTTGTGATTTGAAGAATGATCTTCACAAGTAAGTTCTGGGACGGTTGCCCCTATCTTCTCCATGTTATCTCAGCTGACCTGTTTGGATGGATGAAGGTATCTCACGAGAGACAAGTGGGTTGAAAGCACATGGCGAGGATGCGACCCCGAAAAACCAAGACTCGTCTACCAATCCGGCCAAGTCAAAGGAGAATGGGACCCAAGAGTGAGAAGAAGAGAGACCACCCCACTCGAGACCATCACGAACATCAGAGCTGACACGTATCAAGACCAACGACTACCTCTGGGAAAAAATGCAACCCGCCCTCCTCCTCGCCTCTCGCATCCTAACCCACCTCGATAAAAACGACCCCTTCTGGCGCCGCCTCCACGACGTCCTCAACCGCCAGACCATCGGCGAACCCCACGACTACCGCACACCCGAGATGCGCAAGAAGAACCCGATCGTGAAGTTCACACTCCACGACTACGCCGACGGCGGCGGGCAAAACGCCATCGTGGACGACGAGACTCGCAAGGACATGTTTGACGTCCACTTTGAGGTTCTCCGCGTCCTGCAGACGAGGATGCGGTTCATGGTGTGTAGAGGGTATAAGGACGAGGATGGCGGGACGGCGGGCGTGACGTGTGTAGCGGGCTCGTGTATCGATGTGCATATTGCTGCGGATGCGTTGTGGCCGTTGGTTGTGCCTGGGTATAGTGATGATGAGAGGTTGATGCAGGGGTTCTTTCTGGCTTCTACTATTGTTCATGAGATCGCTGTAAGTTCTTGACCTCTGTCAGGACACCTTGGAATGGTAATTTTATCATGAAAGTTGCTAACGTTGATGTGGGTAGCATGCGGTCAACTACGCGCACCATCTCGTTCTCTTGCCGCCGGCCTGCTTCGAGGTTGAGACCTGGAAAGCTACCCCGGACAAGGTCAAGAAAGCTTCGGAGATTGGATCAAAGATGTTTTCCAAATTTTCGGATGGCCACATTGAGCCGTTTTTCGAGGATGAGCCGCAGGCTGAGCTGGGGTTTTGTATAGAGAATAGAGTGAGTTGATTCTCTCTATGTTTCCTTCTTTTCCTTGCTCTCTTCGCAACTTCCACTGCCCCTTTCTCACTCAGAACCAATCGTCATGTAGATAGTCACAAACCACACTAACACATCACCTACTACCCATTAGCTCTTCGGCGGCGTTACCTGGAATATCATATCCCCCGAAATACCTTACCTCTTCTTTCTGCCTGCCGCCATGGCAATGGAGAGGTGGCCACGGCCCAAAGGCGATTGCCGCCGCCCCTCCCTCGAAAAGCTCCAAAAAAGTCCGGAAAGACTCGTTCTCGACCAGATACCGCTGCCCTCGGACCAATACTTCTCCCCCACTCGCGTCGTCCACATTGTCCGCCTCTTCACCGAAGCCTTCTGGGGCGTCGAGGTGAACAAGTACGGCCCCGCGGCGCTGCGCTTCGGCGGCTTGGACCCGGTCAAGCTCCCCATCCTCTGGCCGCGCATCCAGCTGAGCGCCGCGCTGAGGGGTGTGCTGGCGCCGAGGGGCGATCGGGCTCTGGAACTGCTGCCGCGAAGCGACTCGGAGGAAATGCTTGACGCTGGCCCTACGCTGCATCGTTTCTTGTACCAGGTCGGGACCGAGTTTCTGAGGCCGAATGTGGTGCGGTACCGGTGGGAGAGAGACCACAAACACTTTGTTCACACACGGAACGGCCAGATGATCTTACACATGTTTCAGTTGGCTGTCATCGTGATTGAGACCGATATCGCGTATAATTTGCGGCAGAATACCGAGGATGTTGATAATAGGCGAAAGAGCAGAGCCTGGCTGAGGAGCTGGAAGAAAGCTGAGACTCGAAGATGGGGGTCGAATCTCGACAAGAGTTTACAACATGCGCAATCGTCATCGAATGGCAAGCTATGCCCTTTGCCACATCGATCGGTTCATCCCCTCCAAGATGAGGACTATTTCTGGCAAAATATTCCCGACTTAGGGACGAGAGCGGGACAGCGGACAGCGGAAGTGTTGAGACGGGTATACGAGATGATCATCTTCGAGATCGCGTGCTTTCAGCAAATATTTATCGACATTTACCACCTCGACGACGCAGAGCTCGAAGCGTTCCAAGCGACGAAGGCGCCCGAGGACCTGGACTGGCGCCTCACGTTTACAACCGATCTGGGAACGGAGGCACTGCGACAGGCCACGAGACTCGTGGCAGACTATGGCGGGACCGGTTTCATACCCGCCGTCAACATGGCGGTTCTCCACGACTTTGTGGGGAAATTCACCAACATGAGGGCGCAGCTCGAGGAGATGAAGCCGTGGGCGGAGAATCTTTCCGAGATCAATCCTTCCAACTATAACCTCCTGCAACCTATAATACCGAGGCTCAAGATCGCGCGGCGGCCGGTGACGGCAAGGATGGTCAAGATTGTGCAAAAGGAGCTCGGGATGCTTCCCGTGGAGACTTTGGTGGTTGTTGAGAAGTTTCTGAGCTTTGTGAAGACGACGGTGAAGGCTGCGGGCCAAGTAAAGATCGATTTGGCAAGGGATTATGAGATGGATCTGGACGAGGTGGTTACCGAGTTCGAAAAGAGGGATAAGCTTGATCAACCTGACTTGGTGGAGGATGCTGCTGACGAGGACGACCCCGAGGACGGCCTTGCCGACAATGATCCGCTTACTGAAATCATCAGGAAGAGGAAGCCTAAGAACCCCTGGAATGGAATGAATCATCCTCCAAAACGGCTCAAAAGACCCAGGATCGCGGCACCGCAGCTCGTGCCCCAGCCCCTGGCGCATCCCACACCCTTCTCAAGATACTCTCCGCCCAGGCATAGGTTTGGGGACACCACCAAGGCCAGCCGGTTCTCAAGACGCAACATAGTCAACGCCGTCCCGGACCCAATGTCCAAGATCCCAAACGTATTCGCCAACATCCCAGACATATCTTTCCCTCTATCGCAATCTCCTTCCGGGTTCGCGGGATACGGTCCAGGCCAACAGCAGCCGCCGCCACAGCTCCCTACTCACGCTTCAGTATTCGGCAAACCTGGGATCCGGATCGCAGAAGGCCCGGAGCCGATGGGCATATTCCCCCACGCGTATGCGTTATCGGCATCCTTCACGGAAGACCTTGAGCACGAGGCCAGGGCCCGACTTATGCTCGCGCAGCAGAGCCCCGCGAATTCCGCTTTCGGGTTCAGAGAGAGGCACGGAGCGACGCTAGCGAACGCGTATCGTGATCCTTTGCCCGTGATACCGGATTCTCCTGAAAGGCATACTACCGGCGCCGCCCCAAATTTCGGAGTTGGTGGGGGAAATCGACGGCGAAGAATTCCGGATCCGCAGGATTACTCACCCACTACGGAAGAAGTGTCCAGCTTATCAAGTTATCCAGGTTCGACTCCGAGAAACGTAGTCAGGGGGAATGGGGCGGTGGGCCCCAGGGACGTGGATGCTGTAGATGAAGACGAGAGATGGAGGATAACTAGCACAAACAGAGCCAACGCACTCAATATGCAGCGAGAAATGGATATAAAGCAAGGGGCGAAAGAGAAGATTGAGGAGCAAAAGCGGCAGCAGCGGGAGTGGCTGAATAGTCTTGCAAGACAGCAGGCATCGACCGGCATGTTGGAGATGGACATGGGGCCTGATTTCGGTACAGGACCTTTAGGAGAAGGATCAAGTGCTAGTACTGGTGGGTTGGATGAGAGAGTCGGCTCGGGGCCATCTACTGCTTCTCATCGGCAGCAGGCGAGGTATCTGCCGAACGATATGGACTGGGTGCCTGGCTGAGGATCACTTGTTCAACCAGGCTCAGCCTTTAGGGCAGGGGAAACAAAGTCTTCTTTGCCAGATAAGCTGAGTCAGGGAGAGGAAGCTGGATATGTCGATGTGTTTTGGATGGAGGAGTCAAGGAGTCCTTTTAGAGGCAAAAGCCTGTTTTCCATCTGCTTTATTTAGCAAGTAGACATACTTGAAAGGGAACTCTATTCAACAGAGTATGCTTGAGAAAATGCGTCTCAATCAAGCTTCCCAGATTCTTTACTGCAATGAATGTCTCACCTTACGCCTGGAATCTTTGTAATCTTCACCGTCAAATACTATATGCGTATTCGTCAACGAAGCCTGAGGTATCACAGGATAAGGCGGGGCCCGGGGCATAGTTTATAACCTGATTCACCTCATCCGTTCTCAACAGCAGTAAAAGGGACTCCTGCCCAGAAGCTTAAGATGGTTATACCCCTAATCCTGAAGTGCAGAGCTACCGAGCTGTAGTTTGTGGGTTCGAATCCCACAAGCGCCCTTCATGTTTCGTGTTTTTGTTTTTCTTCCTTTTCTTTTTCTTTCCTGGCTTGAGGCCAGAGTATCTCGCTCTTGGGAGAGTCATCTGAGTGGATTGAAAACCAACATTCGCTCAAGAATTCACTGCTGTCTCCTCTGTACAAATGCCACGTATCAGCAGACCTCAATCCAACCTCATATCGCATCAATATCAATCTCCGGCGCCTCCCTTCTCCTAAACAATAACTTCGCCGTACTATCCGAGTTCCACGCAAATCCCCACTCCTGCCACTGATGCTCATATCCAGGCGTCAACTTCCAGTCAAACTTCATCAGCAAATGCGCCAGCGCAATCTTGAGCTCATTACCGGCGAAGAAGCGACCCGGGCAGGCGTGCTGGCCGTGGCCGAAGCCGAGGTGTGAGGGCGATGTGCTGACGAGGTGGGCCTGGCTGTCGAGCTTCGGGTCGCCGCGCATCTTGACGAAGCGATAGCCGTTGAAGGCTTCGGGGTCCGGGTAGATGGAAGGGTCGTGCATCTTGCCCAGGTCGCCGACGCAGCGTTCTCCTTTTTGGAGTTTGAGGCCGTTCGGGAGGGTTACTTGGCGGGTTGCCATGCGGGCCATAATGGCTGGTTGACGTTGTAAGCAAGAAGTCATATTGATAATAGGTCCATGTCATTATGGAATGGAATAAAGAGGGAGATGCTCACCGGATGTGACTGGCTTCAGTCGTTGCGACTCTTTAAGGACGCTGTCCATGAGTTTCATATTGAAAAGAGCCGTCTTCTTCCAACCTTCAGCGGTGAGAACTTCAACAATTTCCTTCCTCAGGGCATCAAATAACTCCGGGTTCTCTGCAATGCGTAGCATAGTCTCCACGAGTAGATCCGTAGTGGTATGAATCGCGACGACCGACAGACCCAGCTGCGCGCCAACAACATCATACTCCCGCCCCTGGCTCTCCTCTTCGAACCAATCAATGCCATCATTGAACTTCGGCACCGGTTCGCCCCTCTCAGTAGCCCGCTGTCGCGCATCTCTACGCTTTTGAAGCACCGGCTCAATGATGTCTCGAGAATCAGATACTTGCCGTCTAAGAGTCTTGCACTTAGGGAGAAACAGGTTGGCGGCATAACGCAGCCAGTATGGGTATGGACGCAGGATCTCAGCGCCGAGGAAGGCGTTGACGGTGTAGGACTTTGTTATAGCGAGCCAGGCTTCGTCGCGGCATACTTCATCGCCGAGGAAGACGCGGGATGAAAGGCGGCAGATGAGGTCGAGGATGGTGTCTTTGGTGTTGTACTCTTGCCATTCTACGTAGAGCAGTCATAAGCGTGTTAGCAATGTGAACAGATGACGAGCGGCTACTATGCAGTTGGCGTATCAAGAAACGTACCTGTGGGCTTGCCGAAGATGTGATCGACAGCAAATCTAGTTTCCGACGCAAGAGGCTCCGTGATTTGGTCTGTATCATCGTGTAAGTATCGTGATGGTGTGCTGGTGTAACGTGGGGTCTCAATGTGGGGTGTGGGGTAAGAAAACGGCAACTTCGTGATGGGAACGTAGTGAAAACCTACTGAGCAACTTGGTGATGCGCTTCTTGATGACAAGCTGAAAAAGTCCGTCCGGTCTGTTGCCAACCGCAAACCCTTCGAACCCATTCAGTTGAGGGTGGAAGTTGTCTGCGAAAGCCTTTGAGAAGCTCAACCCTGGCTCGTTGCGAATATCGTGAACTAGATCCGGCGGAATGACAACTGTCTCACCAACGTCCGTCATGAGTCTGTAAGGCTGGCCGGGAAATTGAGTTCGGGCGTCTTCCATAATACGACGAGCATTCATCAAGAAGCCCTTCTTCCGTTCTTGGTCGAAGAAATCGAATAGTCGTCCCGGGTTGACGGAGGGGAGTTTGCGAGAAGGCTTGCGAATGTGGGGTATTATCGTGAAGACGCTGATGAGGACAATGCCGAGACATAGTGATGTCCATAAATCCAGCTTACGGATGAGTGATGAATCGTCGGCCCATGAGCTTAGAAGATGTTTGGGGGTTGTTATGGCCTCCATTTCGGCAGTTCAAGGTGAGAGAAAGTATGAAGCAAAAGCTGATAGACCAAGCTTGGAGATGGTGAAAGGTGTAAGTGCGTCCGTCTACCATCAACTTATATACTCTGCCCAGCCTTAGAGGGGGCAGCTCGGCGGTGAACAAATAATCATCTTCGGTTTCACCATTACACGAGAGATTTCGTATTACAAGTCAAGAATTACTCAAAGCCATCTCCACGTTGACGTTGTTTCTAGCATATCACGGTGCTAAATCGCTGCCCGCCGGCCAACACTCCCGTCGTTGCAACTCTGCGCGACCCGCCGCCAACCCTGTCCGTAGCCGTCTCAGACGAATCAGCGGCGTTTACAACTGGGGACTGCGTCTCTTAAGTTCCGAGTCATGCAGATCATTGTAGCAAGCTTCGGAAGCAGACAAGTGCCCGACAGCGGGACGGGTGGATCTCTAAAATCTGGGATAGTTTTTGATGCCCCCCGGGGAACCGTCCTCAAAAGCGACGACCATCCTCCTCAAATTCTTCTCAGTTTTTGGATCTTTTAGTGCGAGGTCTTGTTTCTTGCCACGACTCCCCGCTTAACAAGACTGTCCCCACTTACATCGCGCAAATTCTTCCTTAACCCAAGGCCGACGATGCGGGGGTTAGCCTGGTGTTTTGACGCGACACGGACAGTGATGGGTTACTAAAGTTCAGCAACGCGGCGTGCGAGGGCACCGTTTGTCCGTTGTGGCTACGCGCACCATACATATAGGACGAAGTCTTGGTTCGCGCCAGGCATGACATGCGATGACGGCAACTTGGCAGATTCCGTGGTCCTGCACAACATTTATGTTGTGACGGCAAGTAGAGCAACATCTGACACCAAAGGTAACAAGGACTCCAGTTCGCCAATGAAAGGATACATTTAGGTTATGTCTCCTTGAGGCTCTAACCAGCACAGCATGAGTGATTGGCACTGTGCATCTAGGCGAAAGATAAGTCCTGATAGCGGGTGATGGCTTGCTTTGACAATGTCTTCCCAAGGCCGCCTGCATTCGTCAGTCTTGACGTTAAGTGCCATCTATCAACTGAAAGTGACTAAATGATTCCAAGTTGCACAGTGGAGACTGTCGCGTCGAGAGTGCAAACTTGACTCATCTGAGCAACTGAGCCTGTTGTCGTCATAGGTCACGGCCATCAGCCATCGGAAGGCCAGAACACATCGCAACAGTACGAGGCATCAATCTCTTGAACTTATGAGCAAGTACGACTACAACTGAACTCAAAGAAGCCCTCGATTCATGATGTTATTAACTAGGCTTTCCGCTATTAGCTCTCGGATCCGTCAACAAAAGCAGCTGCCAACTCGCTACATAGAGTGACCTGGAAGTTGACTAACACCCTCCGTCAGCGCCATAGCTCACCTCATCAGGTCGAACAGTCGAACTCTATGCCAGATCCTCAGCATGACTTTGGGTAAGGAAAAAGGAATATTGTAATACCACGATTATTCTAGGAAAGATTTCGCCGGATACCTTCCGACTTATGTGCACGATGTGATGGCGGCTCGGCTCCCACATACCGGATTATTCGGAGCCGGGGCCCCCTATATTCTCTTCCGTTATGATCTACAGATAAACCGAACTCCAAATCAACCCCAATGATGATTACCGCTTCGAAGGACGAACAGAGAATACTCGCATTCGTAAATCGTAGTTGATCTACAGTGAGCGGTTCGCGGCCCCCATTCACCCACATTCCGATTTTTCAGTGGAGAAAAGTTGGAACAGTCGTCAGCCTCTGCGAACGCTGTGGCACCGTAAATACCTATTTTAGATTGACGATATGCTACAAGCTTGTCCGAGCTTGTAATGGCATGACTGTGATTCGTCATTACATTGCCCGCTCTATGGGCGAGTACCCAGTTGATGTCGAAATGCCGACAAGTTGTTCATCCTCGGTGACGCGTTCAGGGGAACCAGGTCTTCGACGGAAGGTGTCGACATGGCATTTCCATCAAAGGTAACCACTTTTTCGAAAGATGGTAAAGATTGAGACAGGTATAAGATAAATCGAGTTCGGATGTTTCTCAGCGTCTCGTTCATCCAAACTGTCTCTCGGCAGCAACCTTCTCTCCACACATCATGAAACTCTCAACCGTTGCAATTGGCGCGTTCGCCTCCTTAGCCCTTGCCCACAAGGAGGTAGCCCCCGGAGTGGTCAAACGCCACGCCGATCTCTCTAAGCGCTGTGCTTCTGGAGCCGCAAAGTTTAAGCAGAAGCGATTCGAGAAGCGCCAGGAGGAGGCCAGCCTGAACAAGCGATCCGGCAACAGCTCTTACACCATCGTCACCGAGGGCCCCTACTATGACACCCTCCAGAACGACACCTGCGTCCTCGCTCCCGATGTCACTGCTGGTCCGTACTACTGGCCCCGGTCAGAGACCTTGAGGCAGGACATGACCGAGGACCAAG